GCCGTACTGGGGCCATGGGGGTGGGCCCTGGGATGGGCATGGGATCGGCATAGCCACAGATATAGTGACGGGCACCGGGATGGGGACGGGCACCCCACCCCCACCCCTGTGTGTCCTCACATTCCCTGAGTATCCCACCCCCTCCTTGGGTGCCCCCACCCCCACCATCCCTGCATGCTGAGCATTCCCTGCTGCCCCCCACCCTTGGGTGTCCACCCTATCCCTGAGTACCCCTCGTTCCTAGGTACCCCCCATCCCTGGGCACCTCACATCCCTGGATGCCCCCTATCCCCATCCCTGGGTGTTCCCTGTCTCCTTACCTGGGCACCCCACCATCCCTGGGTCCTCCCAACGTCCCTGGGCACCCCGCACCGTCACCCCTGGGTGCCCAAACCCCGGCTCTGAGGACCCCGCCCCCCTCCCTCCCCCAGGTTCGCGGTGTTCGGGTTGGGGTCCCGGGCGTACCCCCATTTCTGCGCCTTCGCACGGGCCGTGGACACGCGGCTGGAGGAGCTGGGGGGGGAGCGGGTGCTGCCCCTGGGCGAGGGCGATGAGCTGTGTGCCCAGGAGGAGTCGTTCCGCACCTGGGCACGCCAGGTGTTCCAGGTACGGGGCCCGGGGGCCGGGAGGAGTCATTCCACACCTGGGAACTCCTGGTGTTCCAGGTATGGGGGTCTGGGGGGACTCACCAGCCCCCCTCCCTTGGTGCCCACCGTGTCCCCCCCGTGCCCCCAGGCTGCCTGTGAGACCTTCTGCGTGGGGGACGGGCCGGGGGGGGCCGAGGAGCTGTTTGCCCCCCCGCAGGGCTGGAAGCGCCAGAGGCACCGGCTGGTGCCACAGCCCCAGGCCACCGAGACCCTGGCTGGTACTGACCCCCCGGCACCCCCTGGCACCCCCAAGGACCCCCAACCCTCTGCATCACCCTCCACCTGCCACCAGCATCTGCCCCATGGCCCCCCCGGGGACACCCCACAGCAACAGCCCCCTCCGAGCACCCTGTGGGACCCCCTCACACCCCACAGCTCTGGGGGGTCACCCCACAGCCACCCTCCAGGGACTCCTTCAGCCCCTCCGTGACCTCCCCAGAATCCCTTGGCACCCCCCCAGCCCTCCTGTCACCCCATGACTCCTCAGCCCCCCGTGTCCCCCCACGACCCTGCAGTCCCCCCAATCCCCCCATGTCCCCCCAAACCCCTGTTCTTCCCCAGCTCTCTGTGACTCTCCAGTCCCCCTATGACCCCTCAGCCCCCCATATCCCCCAGCCCCACATGTGTCTCCCTGTGTCCCTTTGTGTCCCCCCATGCATCCCCAGCCCCCCCCCCTCCA